CTTCTCGATTTCGGTCTTGTCGAGAAGATCATTACCGACCAAGGACGGGAATTTGTCAATGAGGTACAATAATCTATCTAATACAGTGTATGTGTTATGTGTAACAATGTAATACGATTTTTCAGGTAATTTGGTAATTGGTGTACACTAAACCATCTGCAGGTCAACCGTGGTGTTTTTGATGCACTGGGTGTAAAACACTGCATCACTTCAGCGTACCATCCCCAGTGCAATGGCCAAGATGAGCGTACAAACCAAAACATAAAAAAAGCACTTGCAAAGTACTGTGGAGAGGACCAGAATGACTGGGATTTACATCTGAGGGGCATTGTGGCGAGCATTAACACCTCAAAGCAGGTACAATGTTGTAACAAATGCAGATGGAAACAATACTCAACAGAGATACTAAAAGGAATTTTTATGCTTTCAGAGGTCAACCAAGTGCACGCCCTATTTTGCCCAGTTTGGGAGGCACCCTCGCGTCCCGGGTGTTATAAATGCTACAGTCAATGACAGGGATGATACCTCTGTTTTGGTGCCTGCTGATGAGGCAGAACAGCAGCTTGAGGCAAAGGCTGCAACCATTGCAGATTTGCACTCGAAGGTGAGAATAAAATGGCAATATTTAAAACATAATAACTCCTAAAAAATGCAAGCGTATGTTAAGGACTGTAAATGATAACTGTTACATATCTTTCTCAGATTTACCAGAACATCCAAATAGCACAACAGAGACAGAAAATCTCTTTTGAAAAACGCAAGGGAAAGAATGTGAAATCTTTCCTGATTAACGTTGGAGATGAGGTCCTAAGAGCGAATAAGAGGAAGGAGGGCCGAAAAGGTGGAAAACTGGAGTGCAACTGGTTTGGCCCTTATGTGGTTTCCTCAATCACCAACAAGGGTGTGGCAACCCTGTTGAGCTCAACAGGAGCTCAGCTGAGACAGAGTGTGAATGTGTCTCAGCTGAAGCCCTTTATCAGGCCTATGTTGAGAGGTATTTTGATTATCAATACAAGGACACATTTTAGGTATACTTCATGTGTGGTACTTCAATAATACTGTTTATTTTGTGTCTATCTAATAACAGCTGAACCGAAGTTGGATTCGGAGGGGTCAGTTGCTGACCACCAGTATGCCCTCTCTGGTGCGAAATACGCAAAGGATCTACATCCGATTCAAGACAAGCTGGTAGATATATGTTTACTTCATGCACAGTGATGGAGGTGCATTGTTTTGATTTTAATTTTTCTATGTTTTCTATTGGCTTGAAGTATGTTTTGCAATCTGTTATTTGCAGCTCAGCTATGTGCTAGACCACAATAGGCCTGGAGCAGAGGTCATTGTGAAGGAGGGTGATGTGTGCCTGACCAGAGAGGACTTTTGGAGCCTGGGTCTTCCTCAGTGCATGGAGTCAAATGTAGGTATACTTGAGCTTTCCTCCCAACTTCATCTTGTCTCAAATAAATGGCACAGGTAACTTACTGTTGTTACTGTTTCAGATTGGAAACACGTGCCTGAAGATGGTACAAGAAGCCACCCAAAGACATGTACGGTTTTCAACAGACATCATTGGCCTGCTTTTTTCTTTTGAATAACACATATTTTTCTAAATAGCTGTTTAGTGGTGAAACTCCAATCTCGTGAAGTGTGGTTGTCTCTTGTTGTTGAACATACTTCTATGAAGATTTCATTTTTTTTTGAAAAACTATCAATATAGGGCAAAGATATATACATCGTGGATATGTATGTGGTTCCTACCTGGAAGTCCAAAACAGCTGACGCGTTGGCCAGTTTTCCAGTAAGTTCCTGTTGCTTGAGACCTATGTTTCTTGAAATTGATATACAGCAACTTAAAATCCCTTGTTTAAAATACTAGGCTGACCAATTGGCCACCAAGGACATGGTTTTCATCCCTGCCTGGAGTCGGCAGCAAGGAAAGGCAGATCACTATTTGCTTTGCGTGAGTCTGTTCCAAATGATCTCACCAGCATGTACAAAATGAACATAAGTTGTGCTGTGTGGTTTTCTTCTGGTGTTTGATTATGTCTAATTTCAGCTATTTTGTCAATGGTTGACAGGTGATCAAGCCAGCAAAGAGAGAGTTATATTTGCTCGACCCTCTTAAGCCAGATGGCTTTGGGGACAATTCCTACAAGGACATATTTAGGTTTTTGTAACATGATTACCCCCACCGTTCTGTGGCTTGTATGGGAGTTCTAAATAGTTTATAGTATTCTAATACTGCAGTAACCATCTTGTAGACCAGGGGTCTGAATCTGATCAAATTCATTTATAATATATCTCCATTTCCACAAAGTCTGGAGTGTCCTTAGTGGAACCAAAAGAAAAAGAGTCTGCAACAGGATGCTATGAATTATAATGTTCATTTTGTTATAAGCCTTGTTCAAAGGTTGTTTTCAAGTTCAGCTTTGTTCAGAGGCTGGTAAACGTATTTTTGTTTGTTTTATTTTAGCCCCGTTCAGTGGCTTTCATAACTTTCCTCTTTTAAGGCATGCAATAGTTCAATGTAAGGAAATCCAAAAACATGAATTATATTGAGTATAGCGTTCCTTCACCAAATCAATTCCCATGTCTTATCATTTCTTTTGACAGTGACCTAGCGCACCGCATTGCTCCAGGTCAGTGGACAGTAAAGTTCGGCAGAGACGTCAAGGTACATTTCTCCACCATCTCATACACCTGCTTTCACATGTCTTTATTTTCCATTTGACCATGAACATCACTGTTATATTCCAAATTCTTACAGGGTTTGCCTCACCAAACCACGGGCAATGACTGTGGTGTCTTCATACTGATGGTAAATTCCTCCCTTGACACTTTTTTTTAAGGGGTTTTGTTAGTTTTTGAAACTCATAACTTAACAGATCTTTATCCTTTCACAGTATGCACTGAACTTCAGCATAGATGCTCCACTTTGGTTTACCGAGGTCAGTATTTATCCTCTGAGTTAGTATTTCAGGGGGAAGAGGGGGCTAACATTGAGTAGACAAATGATGAGGTTCCATTCATTTTCAACTTTATTATTGTTACATTTTCTTTTAGCGGGACATAGCACAGATCCGGAAATGGTGGTGCATTATGCTCATGGAACGGTACCAGATTGAAGGGTAAATCATACATTTTAAATGTTACTTTATAGACAACAGTTTCTTTGACACTGATTTACATTTTCATCCTGATATTATGTGATTTTTATAGCCACGGACAGAGGTTTTCTTACTGGACCAATGAGGCCGAAGAGCTGCTCAAAGGGGCACTGGAGCCAGTGTACAGGGTCTCAAAGAAGCAAAAGACAGAACATGAGGTCAATAGGCACACTCCTGTTTGTGATAAAGAAATGTAACAATCCAGATTATTTAACACATGCATACATATCAATATTGATAATTGTATACACATGTAATTAAACAATCACATGACCCACACCTTATATTTTCCTTCAAAGGTCCAGTTTCAAAAGTCCGACATGTGCTTCATATTGGAGGTAATATCTTTTCAGTGAAGCAGTAACTGTTTTTTTGTTTAAAAAACGACCTATGATCACGGCAGAATTTCCAACTATTATGTCTCACTGCTTTTTTTAACTTTATTGATAGCTGTTTTTTACCTCAAGGAGAAGAATAACAAAACATAAGAAAAATGTGTGTGATATATTCAACATTAATATTAAAAATGTGTATTTTTGCTACCTGAAGCCCAAAGAATCTTGGTATTTCGATTGTGCTGGCAACAGTCTAGTCAATGTGTTGTTAAATATGTTTGATCTAGTCTGACCAATACTTCACAGCTGCCAAACTGTCTTCTCTCGGACCTTCTGATGGAAGTGGTTCTCCAGGAAGGTGACAAAGCGTACTCATCACTCACTCTAGTGTGTACCACCTTCAGAGACACAATGTCCACTGTGTCTTTCAGAAGAGGGGCCCACTTTCGCTGGCTTGAGAGTAAGTGATTCAGTGAAGGTGCAGCAGTATACGACAGCTGTGGTGTCTATGCATATTTTTAATGGCTCTATTGAAATGCTTGTTTTACACAGGTGTTGCTACATGGAGTTTGTTCTCTGCTTCATACAAGCAGGATTTCAACGTCATGTACACCATTGACACCTGCCGTGGATGCTTGGAGCCTTACAAAAACTGCAAACCAGGTAGACTTCTTATTCTGGATAATAATGTTTATGTGTCATTACATATTTAGTGTGTTGTGGTCCTAGTGTGATTCAATTACAATATTTTCTTTTTCTATTCATAGGATATGTTGGGAAAGGTAAAAGAGGAGAATTGCAGGGCATCTACTCTGATGACCAACATCCAGGCTATTGCAGTCCCTTCTGCAACCAGATATCATAGGTAAAGATTAACTCACACAAACAAATGTCAGAATAGACTAAATTGTCACTGCAATTAATGAAGATCATCATTTGATATCTTACCTTCAAGTTTGGTTTTCCCGGACGCTGCCCGTCATGGACTTCGGGTCGTGGACTTCGGGTCGTGGCTGAACCTGTCTCTGCAGTCCTGCCTTGGGTCATGCTGCTTCCCTGATGGCTTCCTCATATATTCTGAACAATCTGTGCTGTTTTCCTATCCACATGTAAAAGGAACTAGAAGGATTTCTTGATACTAAGGGCTGTAGAGAAAAGTTTGGAGCTTTTTCCATTAACGTTGAAGTTCAAATTCTCAATAAACACTTGAATGCTGTGCTGTCTTTCTATTTACTTGAATGTGTGAATTCATTCAGTTGGGTAGGTAAGCTTGGGATGGATATATGAAATATATACATACAAAAAATTAGAGACTCTTTCCAATGAAAGTAGCTAGCCGCAATAGCTCCAAGATTGCTATATCTAGTTTGTAGGTCGCCAAGTTGGCATCATTGACAGTTCGTCTCTTAAAGCCTCTAAAGCTCTGCAACAAAAAAGGATCATTATGAATGTAAATACTATACATGGTAATGCAGCAGGGCATAGTGCGATGAGGCAGGCAGGCAGAACCAGATTTATTTCTAAATATTTGTCGATCAATATTAGGCTACACTAATATAAGGCTACTAGTATTATGATATTACTGCAATAATATTCCAGTGGTGGCTGCTTAAGGTTGTTTCTGGCTCGTTTGATCCAAACATTGTCCAAAGCTCAAAATGTATTGTAATAGATGTAAGAATTCTCAAAATGTACAATATGTTTTGATCCAACACAATATTCTGATTCAATCCATATATGTTAGGGGTTTTTTTTTTCACCAAAATAAATAGACTGCCTTCTCTCCAGCTCACCGCACACAAAGGGGGGGGGGGGGGGGGGGGGGGGGCATCTGTATTAACGGGTCAGTCTATAAGCACTCTAATAGCACCATAAATTACATTTAAATAACCACAAAAAGACAATTATTGTTTCCGATATTGATTTAACGAGATGCTGTTATAACATGGAAACGGCTTAATTTAAAAAAATAAGCTTCAAAAATGTTTTATGAAGCACACTGGGTACAGCCCTGTAATACATGTGTTCCGTGTGTATATAGTCTTACGCAAGAAACACATAGCATGAACAGACTGCAACAAAACCAGTCTTACAAAACAGACTTCTGCTAAACTGGTGCAGAAGCAAAGCATCTACCTTAGATGAAGTTCACACAGAACTGTGGAAAAGGGAGAACATCTGTACTTGCTTTCAACGACATGATCAGGCTTATATATTATAAAAGTGTTGGCTAAAGTAACGCAGAATATATATATTTTTTAATTGTAAATAATTAAGTACACACACATAACAAGCTGTACCGAGTTCCTCCGTCTGCAGTTCCGCAGACGGCCGGTGTGTGGCAGCATAGCGCTGGGAGCAGAGGGAGGTGAGTATATGACGGATATGACGGATGACGGATGCGACGGAAATACACCCGAACATATTTGGTAGGCCGAACATATCTGGTACTGACACCGGCTACATTTATAGATATCTCAGTAAGTGAATGCTCGCATAGTTTGGTTAAGAGGTAGTACCCATAGAGTCCAGTAGAGGGCTCCACCTGTGCTATAACTAGGGTTACAATACGTAACCCCTGTTTCTCCCAAAGTCTCTGCAGCTCTCTGGATACCAGACGCTGTCTCAATTGATCCACACTGTGAACATGAGGGGAAAATGTGTGTAATAAATGCTTTAGACAAAAATAAATATGAAGTTAACTGTAAGGAGTGGCTCAGTTTTTTTAAAATAAACAATTCTATTACTGCATTTCAATATCTCAAGTCTGAAAGTTTAATTTCAAAGAAGAGGCCCCAAAATAGTGAATGTGAGAGTATTTCAGTAGTGTGTGTGCAAGGCCAGATGTTTTCAGTAGAGTGTGTGTGTGTGTGTGTGTGTGTGTGTGTGTGTGTGTGTGTGTGTGTGTGTGTGTGTGTGTGTGTGTGTGTGTGTGTGTGTGTGTGTGTGTGTGTGTGAGGTGTTCAGTAGTGAATGTGAGATATTTCAGTAGTGTGTGTGTGCAAGGCCAGATGTTTTCAGTAGTGTGTGTGTGCGAGGTTAGTTTGAATGTTGGCCTACACGGCCCCTCATACTAAGCACTACATCGAGATTAAGATTAAACAGACTTCTTTCACTTGGGAATACACATATACCTATGGAGATAGCCAGATGTGCGTAAATTACTGTTCATGGTCATTTGAAAACAAATGCTGGTGTCGGACACACACATACACCGAACACACACACACAGAATGGAGCTGAGCAGAGCATAAACACACACACACACATCATGTGCCCTGAGATTTCCTTCATAAAACGAGTAATAGGGGGAATCTAATCTGCGGATGGCTTGAACAGTCCGCAGGCATTACAGGCTCTGCCCTTGCATGGTTAAGGTCTTATTTGACGGACCGTAGCTTCTCAGTGCAGTTAGGTGCCTTCTCCTCTGCCAAAGCCCCTCTTACCTGTGGGGTTCCCCAAGGCTCGATTCTGGGCCCCATCCTTTTTCTATTGTATATACTGCCCCTAGGTTCAATTCTCACAAAACATAATATCCCCTTCCATTGTTACGCTGATGATGTACATATCTATCTGCCTCTCAATCAAAATGCCAACTCACTACAGCAGTTGAAGGACTGCTTAACAGAGATTAAATCCTGGCTGAGCCAAAACTTCCTCACCCTCAATGAGAGCAAGACTGAGGTCATCTTTTTTGGACCCCAACCAACAGTCTCCCCGGTTGATATTCTGGGCTCCCTCAATACAAATATCCTCCCCTCTGTCATGAACCTTGGAGTGACCTTCAACAGCGCCTTTAAATTTGATAAGCAGGTTAGCACTGTAGTCAAGACCTACTTTTTCAAAATACGACTATTGGCTAAGACCAAGTCGTTTTTATCTTTTAAAGACCTAGAAAGGGTTATTAACGCCTTTGTTACCTCGAGACTGGATTGTAGCTAATGCTCAAAGGTCCCTTATTATTGTTTTGTCCCTTTTTTGAAGAGCGTTTAATGTATGCTTGAACATTGTTTTATTTTGTAAAAATGATAAGAGTTGTCTTTCCGGAAGTCATGTGACCTCTTGCCCCGGATGTTTATATTGTGTTTGGGAGAGAGTAAAAGGGCGGTAAAAGTGTCAACGATGTGATAACGATAATTCTACTGCTGGTCTACTAGGCAAACACGTTTTCACGGTGTTTCATGAATGTGCAAAGAAGAGAATAAACGTCATTGTGGACATCAGTTCGATGCGTAAAGTTATTTCAAGACCAGAGTAGTTACAGTGAAAACGTAACCTAATCCATCCGAATCGAGGTATTCGATCCTGCTACAGGCTAGAGTGTGCTACGCTATTCCCCATCCTGCTGCAAGCAACAGGCTAAAGAGGTGAGACGCTGTTCTCAATCCTGCCGCAGGCTAAAGTGTGCGAAGCTATTCGATCCTGCTGCAAGCTACAGGCTAAAGAGGCTAAAGACGTGAGACGCTGTCGCTGTTCCCCATCCTGCTGCAAGCAACAGGCGTCGCGTATCGTGTGCGAAGCTGCGCTTCATCGGACGGTGTGCTGCGCATCCCGCACGGACGACAGGCTTCATTCATAGACTGGCTTCATCAGACGGTGTGCTGCGCATCCCGTGCGGACGACGAGCTTCATCAGACTGTGTGCTGCGCATCCCGTGCGGACGACGAGCTTCATCAGACGGTGTGCTGCGCATCCCGTGCGGACGACGAGCTTCATCAGACTGTGTGCTGCGTATCCCGCGCGGACGAGTGTGGCTCTTCAGGTTGAACTGTACTTTGAAATGTAAACCTCAAATAATTGATGGAAAGTCCCACAAATAAGGTAAAGGTAATAAAGACCTATTAGTATAAAGTAAAGAAAATATATTTAAAGTTCCTGTAACTGTTATTGTTAAGGGTTATTACTGTTAAGAATTGTATTGGCTAAGTGTTAAAGGTATTCCAAGAGTTGCCATTCATGCCTGTAACTTAGTCTGTCAGTCTGATTTAATGTCGCTACATGAAAAAGAGCAAAGCTCAGACTTTGAAGCAGAAGAGAAAGATGAGAGAAGAAGTGCTGCATCTAAAAAATCAGAGACAAGAGTAAGGAAATCCTCTCGAGAGAGACGGCTAACAACAAAAATGCAAGAACTTAAAGAGCAAGAGTTAACTCAAAAGGAAAATAAGTTCAAAACGGTGTATGAAAAATGGAAAAATGCGGTAAGAGACATTCGTACAATACTTAAAAGAGAATGCTCTGAGAGTGACATGTATAACATGATGGATGAAGTTGAGGGGCTTGAATCCGAATTAGGACTTATATGACAACATGCGAATTAATACAGCACCTA